GTTCCCACTGCAGTGCACAAGATCCCTGGCTTCTCCACATCCTACCCAGCACTCATCCTCCGCTTTCTCGGTAAGAGCTATCCCAGGGGCTGTGAAGTGCTGACGTGCTGTGGTTTTGTTTTGCGTTTCTCGGATGAGGTGATTCTGAGTGTCTTTCACGTGCCTATTGACCGTGCATGTATCTTCTTTGGAGAAATGTCTGTTCAGGTCTTTTGCTCATTTTTAATTGTTTTCTTGTTGTTGGGTTGTAGGAATTCTTTTTTTTTTTTTTTTTTTTGGACAGTCTCCCTGTCACTCAGGCTGGAGTGCAGTGGTGCCATTCGGCTCACTGTAACTTCCGCCTCCCGGGTTCAAGCAATTCTCATGCCTCAGCCTCCTGCGTAGCTGGGATGGCAGGCAGGTACCACCACACCCAGCCAATTTTTTTATACTTTTTTAGTAGAGACGGGGTTTCGCCATGTTGGCCAGGCTGGTCTCGAACTCCTGACCTCAGGTGACCCACCTGCCTCAGCCTCCCAAAGTGCTGGGATTACAGGTGTGAGCCACCGTACCCTGCCAGAATTCGTTATACATTCTGAATACTAATCCTTCATCAGATGTAAGATCGGTAAATATTTTCTCCCATTCTGTGGGTTTTCACTTTCTTCATAGCGTCCTTTGATGCACAAGTTTTAAATTCTGATGCAGTTCAATTTATCTATTTTTTTTTCTTTGATTGTCTGTGCATTTGATGTCGTATCCAAGAAATCACTGCCAAATCCTGTGTCATGAAGCTTTTCCCTACGTTTTTTTCTAAGCTCTTTATGGCTTGGGCTCTTACTCTTGGATCTGTGGGCAGGGTGGTAGCCCCAAGCCTCCTCCGGTCCCCAGGCAAGAGCCCCCTCCCCAGGCACTTTTCTTCACAGTGCGGTGGTGTTCAGCCTCTGCCATGCTGACAGAAAGCAACAGAGGGCAGGGTCCCCAGCCAGCCCTGCAGCCTCTTCCAGGACCCAGGTCCCCCAGGGCCTGCCCATGGCAGCATCCACTGGCAACCCCTCAAGTGGATAAACACAGGCTGGGTGAAGAGCAAGGTCTTCTCTCCCACCCCACAGAACCTCTCAGGACCTGCCTGCCCCCACAACCATCTGGATCCCCCCTAAAACCCAGTACATGTATCCAGCTGGCCTCCCCTCTCAGGAGAGTGGACGAGACCTTGACAATCACACCGAATGCTTTGTTCTCCTGCATCAGACCACCTGCCTCGCCAGCCACCACCCCTGCCCTCAGCTGGCCCCCTGTCCACGCCCGACAGGTGGGGATGAGATGGTGCCACTCCGCTGCTGCGTGCAGGACGGGGTGGCACTCCCATGCCCTCTGTAGAAAGTTCATGTGCAGGGCAGCTTGGCGGAGCGGGTGGGCGGTGGACAGAATGTGGCGCCCTCTGTCCCAGCCTCACAGCCTCCAGGGCTGCCTGTCCTGCCGTAATCACACTGGAATCTTTCCAGTCTTCCGTCACTGTCTCAGCTCATTTGGTGACTCTGCACCCCCCAGGGCCAGAGCTGAGTCCACACCTGGCAGAGCAGATTGTCTGAGAGGACAGCCAGTGACTGCTTGAGAGGAGTGGCTCCATGGCTCCCTGGGGCCGACCTGGGTCACAGCCTCTTTGGGTTCTGTCCGAGGCACATCCCCCGCTGGTGCTAGATAGCAAAAGACACCCGTGGCCGGCTGTGGGTACCCGGCAGCCAGTGTGTGTGTGCCTGCTTGCCATCTGTTCCTGTCTCCCCACGTGGGCCCAGCACAGCCAGGATCGGGGACTGTCCCCAAGGAGATAAGGCTGTAACCCCAGCGAGGTTTCCTGTTTCAAGGGAACAATGACAAAACCCGGTGATGATGTATCTACAGACAGGTGCTCCTCTGAGCCCAGGAGGGTTCTTCCTCAGCCTCCGAAAGCCAGGCAGGTCGGGGAGGACGAGGAGGACCGCATCCAGAATGGCCATGGGTACCGAGTACTTCCCCCAGTCCCGGGGAGGGAGGCATCAGGTCCAGAGAACAAGAGCCCAGCCCCCATCAGGCTGTGGGTCAGGACTGGGCAGGGCCCCCTGAGCCCCACCCTCCCTGAGAACCCACCCCACAGAGTGCCTGCACCCGGGGAGGACGCTCTATCCCATCCTCCACTGTCCCAGGACGTTCCCTGGGGGCCCAGCCAGCCTCCGGCCAAGGCCTGCCATGTGGGTTCTTCTAGTCCGGCCATGGCCCTGGTCTGGGAGCCCCATGATGGATGCCCAGCATTGAGGCGTTGGGAGGCGTGCATGGGGCTGGGCCAGCCCTCGTGTCCTGGAAAGGTGTCCTGGGGGGAATCGGGACCACGGCCAGCAGGTGTGGGCTTTCCTGCACAGCCACAGAGGGGCAGGGTTAAGGGGGAGAAGCAGCGTCAAGGGGGACATTGGGTGGCAAAGAAACAAGGATGTGTCCGGTGGAGCACCCAGGACCCCAAGGCTAAGAGGAGGTGGGCGGCGAGGAGGGCCTGCCTTGGGTCGGGGCCCCACCAAGAGGAGGGACCACCCTTCATGGCTCACCAGGAAATCCCTCTTCCCTGGGCAAACCCTCCAGTGCCTGAGGAAGAGGCGCGGGAGGTCATCTGGGAAAATCATGGACTTGGAGCTGCCGTGGGCAGGGGGAGGTTGACCTGCAGGCGGCCATGCCCACCCCAGATGGCACAGAGGCCCCAGGCGATGCCCACCTGGACCCAGAAAATCCCATCCTCACCTTTGGTCTTGTCCGGGGCAACTCCACGGCCAGAAGGAACTTTCTAAAACGCAGGTGGGGCCGGGTGCAGTGGTTCACACCTGTAATCCAGCACTTTGAGAGGCCAAGAGGGGAGGATTGCTTGAGGTCAGGAGTTCAAGACCAGCCTGGTCAACATGGTGAAACCCCGTCTCTACTGAAAATACAAAAATTAGCCGGGTGTGCTGGCGCGTGCCAGTAATCCCAGCTACTCAGGAGGCTGAGGCAGGAGAATCACTTGAACCTGGGGGGCGGAGGTTGCAGTGAGTCGAAATCGTGCCACTGCACTCCAGTCTGGGCGACAGAGCAAGACTCCATCTCAAAAATAAATAAATATAAAATTAAACACAGGTGGGAGCCCCTGCCACCAGCCCTCCTGAGAGCTGTCACCTGCAGAGGCCACACGGGGTGCCTCCACCTGGCTGGGCCCAGTGCACATCACCTTTGGCCTGGATGTACGGCTTCAGGTCAGGGCATCCCTCCAACACCCCCATTCAGGCCACCGGCCTGCCCCTGAACATGGGCATCTGTGTCAGGACTGACACAGGACTTGCTTCTGGCGTGTGAGGTCTTATCTCCACCTATCCAAGAGGCCCTCATGGGAAATCACACCAGCCTCCCAGCCTCCTCGCCACTCCCCACCGTCCACAAGTCCACTCAGATGCCCCTTCCCCACTCCACCCACCCTGCCCCCAGCAGGAACTCTCACCAGAGGCCAGGGCCACACCCTCTAAGCCCCAACCCACCTCAGGGGAGTTCAGCGGAGCCCCAGCAGGAAATGCTGCCCCTCCCACCTCAGGCTGAAGCATCGAGGGCAGGGCTTTCCATGGCCACAGGGCCTCCCAGGACTCTGAGGGTGGGCGACAGGCAGTCTTGAGTGCCTGGAGGATCTGGAGGCTGCTCAGGGAGGGGCCCAGCCCATGGAGTGCGTGTCCTGGGTCTGGACCTGGAGCTAGAGGTCATGCTTGGGCCAGAAGCATGAGGCTCAGATGGACTGACCAGGCCCCTGGTCCCCCAGGGACTGTCCAGTGAAGCCCAGCCCGGATGCCCATGGGGCTGTGTTTGGCCAGAGAGCCTGTCCTGTCCCTGCAGGGCCACCCTGGAGGTTGTCCTCAGGAGTGGGGGTGAACAGAGCACAGGCGTTTCTCTGGGAGGGCTCCTTTAGAGTACAGGTGCCTCTGCTTCTTGAATTTCGCCTCTGAGGAGGTAGCCTGGGCCCTCCGCCCTCTCTCGGCAGAGGTGGGCCCTGCAGCAGGAGTGGCTGCCCTCGCGTGAAAGGCTGCCCTGTTCAGGGTCCGCTGTCCACTTCTGTGGCTGTCCCTTCCCCAGGGGGACCCCTGCCAGCATCAGCTCAAGGAGGTCCCAGCTCAGAATGAGGAGCCCCAGAGGGAGTGGAATGGGGCAGAAACGCTGGCATGGCTGCCCGCCAGGCACCTGACTTCATCTGAGACCCCGGGAGGCCCAGGCTCAGAGCCACAGAGCTCTGTGTCTGCAGGGACAGCCGGCCTGGAGGTGGCAGACATGGCCCTGCTTCCCTCTCATTGCCTCACCTATGGGAAGCTGCCCTGCCCTGGCATCCCGACAGCTCCTGGCAGCCTCCAGGGTGAGAAGTTGTGGGTAAGCTCTGCAGACCCTCTACCACGCATGCTGACCGGGGCCTGCTCTCCTCCGGACAGGGCGGCTGGCGGTCCTTTCCGGTTCCAGAGGGTGGGAAACGGTGCAGTTTCCTGGGACAAGGGTGGGTCCACGGGCAGATGACTCTGAAGGGCTCTAGTGGGAGTCAGACCACAGGTGCAAGGCCAGGAAGATGAGCTCCTTTGCCCCTCAGGCAGGCAGCGTCCCTCCCCAGGCCTCAGTCCACCACCTGTGACAACCACTACATTCTTTGACAAATGTTTTTAAAAAGCCATAGTTCTTGAGTCCAGATCAAGGAACACCAGTGATCCACGTGCTGCCTCTGCCTGCCGTGTGTCCAGCAAGCACACGGCTCCCCCTGGAGCGAATGCGGGGGGCGGTGTCTGGGGGAAAAGGCCAGCCCCTCCCAGGTGCCGTTGCTCAGGTAGACAGTTTCACCCACGGCGTCTCCAGGTCGCCAGGGAAATCTGCTTCCAGCCAACAGCGTTCCTTTGTCCCCATAGCAACAGGGTCCTGCACTCCCGTTTCCAGGGAAACCCAGCTCTCAGCGTCCCGATTGCCACAGCAACACCTACGGGCTCAGCTGGCCATACTCTCTCACCCACAGGGCGAGGGCAGCTGGGTGCCCAGGCTTGGGTCGCAGGACTGCAGAGCCAGGTGCCACACAGGTGTGGGGCCCGTGCACCAAGGAAGACCCTGGCCAGCTGGAGGAGACTTGCCGGGGAGCAGAGCCCGGCCTCTGGGGTCCTGCGTTCTGGGCTGCAATGAGCTCTGCCTCCAGCGAGCCTGGCAATGGGGATGCCTCCCAAAAGCCCCTACTGGGGCTGGACGTCGTGATCCAGGTCAGTGGGGCGGTCGCTTCCCTCCTCCCTCCTGAGAGCAGGTTGGACATGGCACAGAGAGGGGGTGGCCAGGCGGGACCTTCCTGGTTCCCAGGGCACTTTCCACTTGCTCACGTGTTCGCCTTGAGCGTGCAGGCAGTCACGGATGCAAGCAGGCACACCTGTACACACACACCGCAGCCTGCAGCCCGGAGAGAAAGCCTGGGAGAGAGCTCTGGGCCGCTGCTGGCTATGGACATTCAGGTGGCCAGCGTCCCTGGCAGCCACAGGCCTGCAGGCTGCACACCAGTGCTGACAGCCCTCGGCACTGACTTTCTGGGGCCTCTTTCACTGCCCTCCCGTGGCAACATGCGGGGGCCCGCGGGGCCTCCCTGGGGCAGTGTTCCCATTGCTGTACATTTGTGGGAGGCTGTGGCTTAGCCCTAGTGTCTATTGTGTGGCTTCCAGATGTTCTGGTTGTGTCTTCATAGCACCTGGTGTGTGCAAACAGTGGCTGGGCATTGTCCCGTGTCCCTCTCCCCTCGCCTCCCTACTTCCCAGAGCCCACCTAGAGCCCAGCCTGCGGTCCCACCTCAGACATCCCTCCTCCCTGAACTGCCATCACCTGCTGCTGGCCCCTGCAGCCAGGCCCCACCTCCAACGGACCCCTCGGGATCCCAGGGAACCCCTGACGAACTGGCTTACTCGCGGTTGCTTGTTAACCCAGCTCTTAGCATCTCAAAACTACGCCACGGCAGGCTGACACGGCCCTATCCAAACAGTACAGGTCACCTGAAAGGAGAGATGGCCACAGCTGGTGCAGGTGACTGAGTGACAGGGTAGACCCAGGGTTTGCTCACACACAGGGCCGCACGAGGACTCAGGGCAGGATATGTGAATCAGGTGATGCAACGAGACAAAGAGATGCCATGGGGTGACCTCTATCTCCTCCACCTGGGGTGACCTCTCACCTCCACCTCCTCCACCTGGGGTGACCTCTGACCTCTACCTCCTCCACCTGGGGTGACCTCTCACCTCCACCTCCTCCACCTGGGGTGACCTCTGACCTCTGCCTCCTCCACCTGGGGGTGACCTCTACCTCCTCCACCTGGGGGTGACCTCTCACCTCCACCTCCTCCACCTGGGGGTGACCTCTGCCTCCACCTGGAGTTCGGCCAGCTCTGCCTGGGTGTCAGCTCCACGAGTTCTGAGGGCAGGGCTGGTGAATGCAGGCCGCAGAGCTAGCATACTACATTTACAGGACACTCGCCGCCCTGTGAGGACTCTCATCCCCTCGGATGTCAGGAAAGCCGAGCCTAAGTGTTGGAGGGAGCTGCTGTGGTTAGCGGCTGGTCTGAGGCCAGTGCTGACACCAGGCAGGGGCATGAGCGCTGTGCAAATGTGGCTGAGGGATGCTTTGCCTGACCCCAAATTCCCACTGTCCCCGGGAAACTCATCTGGAGGCTACACAGGCCCCAGTGAGGTCAGCTCTGCCCGCCCTCCCGACACCTGTTATTTTCGCTGTAGTGATAGAGATCTTGATGCCATTACCCCAGAGTGAGCAGGCAGCAGGTGGGCGCCAGATACCCAGATCAGCTGTCCAGATGGGCGGCAGAACCGTAGGGATCCTCCACCCTCTAGCTACAGCCTGGAAGAAGGGGCCTGGAGAAGGCTGTGACTTGAGGATGCAGGAGCCTGCCCCGTGACTAGGGGTGGTGGCTATGGACAGACGGTGAACATGCTCCCAGGCCGGGAGGAGCCCCTCTGACATCCTCTTCCTCCGGCCCCAGCTGCTCTCCCCTCCTCTGGAAGCCCCCCAGCAACCTCTGCACAGCACCCCAGAATGCCCCCCACCCCAGAATGCCCCCACCCCAGAATGCCCCCCGCCCCAGAGCTGGAACTGGACTTAACGGGGCAGGCTTGGAAACTCTCAGCCTCTGTCTCTGGGGTGAGCAAGTCGGACATGTGGAGTGCAAAGCCCCCAGAAATTACACATGAATTGGGGGGTATCTGTGACTGCTTCTAGGGGTGGGGGGTGTGCCCTTCCTCGGAATCTCCTGCATCCAGACCCACAGCTGATGGAGAAGCACGGTGCACAGATTCCCGGACGAGGAACCCAGCACAGGAAGCCCAGTTCCCTCAGAGCTGGGGGCTCCTCAGACTCCGTTTCTCCGGGCTTGAGTTTTGATTCATGCTACTTTTCTAGGAAATTGTCCATTACATCTAAATTTTCAAGTTTATTGGCAAAAGTTGTTCACAATATCTTCTCCTGTCTTTCGGATGTCTGCAGGATCTGTGGGGTAACCAGCTGACCCTCTTTGCTGGGGGGTCTTGAGACAGGACTTTCCCAGGACTCCAGACAGCCTTGGGTCCGGAACCCACGTCCTGGGCACAGCGGGGAGGAAGTGGCTGTCCTGAAGTGGCATCTCCTTTCTCGTTTCTGATGCTAGCCGCGTAGTGATCCTCCTCATAGCATTCTTAGCTTGTGTTTCACTAACCTACATATCCGTTCTTCCTTTGCTTTCAGTTTATCTGGGTTTGTTCTTCATCTAACTTCTGGAAATACGTGCTTGACTCATTGATTGTTCAGCCTTTTTAAAAATTTCTTTTTTCTGGCCGGGCGCAGTGGCTCACACCTGTAATCCCAGCACTTTGGGAGGCCAAGGCGGGCGGATCGCTTGAGGTCAGGAGTTTGAGACCAGCCTGGCCAACATGGTGAAACTCCATCTCTACTGAAAATAGCCGGGCGTGGAGGCGGGCACCTGTAATCCCAGACACTCAAGAGGCTGAGGCGGGAGAATCGCTTAAACCCAAGAGGTGGAGGTGGCAGTGAGCCAAGATTGTGCCACTGTACTCCAGCCTGGGAGACAGAGCGAGACTCTGTCTCAAAAAAATAAAATAAAATAAAAATTTTTTAAAATAAAAATAAATTTTTTTTCTTTAAATTGTGGGAAAGTATACATAACATGAAACTGACCATTTTAACCATTTTTAGGAACAATTCTGCAGCACTAAGCACATCCGCAGTGTTGAGCAACCATCACCACCATCCATGTCCAGAACTTTTTTTGAGACAGAGTCTTGTGTTTATCGCCCAGGCTGGAGTGCAATGGTGCAATCTCGGCTCACTGCAACCTCCGCCCTCCCATCTTCAAGCAATTCTCATGCCCTTAGCCTCTCCAGTAGCTGGGACTACAGGCACACACCACCATGCCCAGTTATTTTTTGCATTTTCAGTGGAGACAAGGTTTCACCATGGTAGCCAGGAGGGTCTCGAACTCCTGACCTCAAGCAATGTGCCCGCCTCGACTTCCCGAAGTGCTGGAATTACAGGTGTAAGCCACCACACGCAGCCCCAGAATTTTCATCTTCCCAAACTGAGGCTCTGTCCCCGTTCAACATTCACGCCCCATTCCCCACTCTCTCGGCCCCCGCCATCCTACTCTCTGGCTCTATGAACTTGGTGACTCTGGGAGCCTCGTCTAAATGGATCAGATGGTATTTGTCCCTTCGTGGCTGGTTTATTTCACTGAGCATGACACCCTCGAGGTCCACCCATGTTGTAGCAGGTGCCAGCATTTCCTTCCTTTTTAAGGCTGAGTAATGTTCTGCTCATGAAGGGACCACACTGTGTTTATTCGTTCATCTCTGAATGGATGCCTGGATGGCTTCCGCCCATTGGCCGTTGTGAAAATGCTTCCTGTGAACCTCGGGGTACAAATATGTCTTCGAGCCTCCACTTTTAATTCTTTCGGGCAGATGCCCAGAAGTGGATGGCTGGATCGCACAGAGAGTCTACATTTAATTTTGTGGGGATCCATCACGCTGTCTTCCACAGTAACCACACCGTCTTACCTTCCTGCTTCTTTTCCTCTCTCATGTACGCACTTCCCTCCAAGCAAGGTTTATCTGTCCAAACTGTTGTTACTCACACCACTTTTCACACCAAATGTGTGGGTTTCTCCTGACACCAGCCAATTCTCCAGCTCTCTGGACACCAGCTAGCCATCCTACAATTCAATCCAGTTCGGACCCTAACCATCCAGAGCTGGCACAGACTCACAGTTTAAGGACTCGGTCCCATAAAGCTGCCCCACCTCAGATGCCAATCACAAGTCCTAGGCCTCCCGTATTCTGTCTGACCGGCTATGAATTAGGGGTTCTTACAAATCCCTGCTCAACTTGATAATTTGCTGGAACAGCTCACCTCTGGAAGTGACTTTCCCATTTGATTACCAGTTAATTATAAAGGACACAACTCAGGACCAGCCAGAGGGAGAGGTGCCCGGGTCAAGGTATAGGGGGCAGGGACGGAGCCTCCAGGCCCCTGGGTACACCAACCACCCACAGCACTGCCTTGTATTCAGCAACCCAGCCTGCCCAGCCCTGTGGTTTGGGGTTTCTATGGAACGTTCATTAAGTAGGCAAAATTCATTTAATCATTGGCCGTTGGTTCATTTGGCCATTGGTTCATGATTAAATGGTTCATTCATTTAATCATTGGCTCCAGAGACAGCTCCTCTCCCCTCCCCAGATGTCGGGGTGTGGGGCCGAAAGCACCAATGCTCTAATTGTGCCCTGGTCTTTCTGGTAACCAGCCCCTACTTTGTGGCTATCCAGGGCCCTGGCCATCAGCCATGTCCTAGGCCAACAAAAGACATGCTTATCACTCAGGAGACCCCAAGGGCCAAGTCTAGAGTCCCCACCACAGGATAGGAGCGGTGGATGGTTTCCAAGTGGCCAGGCCACAGTGCCCATCACTGAGCCCCACACTGTCACAAGCAAGCCAGAGGCAGACGCTCAGCCCATCTCCAAATCTCCCAGGACACATCCAGGTCTTGTCAGGCATAGCCAGGGCCGCTGTGCTAATGACACGGGTCCATCCTCCCGCTCAGGAACCCCTACCAGCCCCGTGGTCCAAGGATCGCGTCCCACAATCCTCTACACAACATTCGAGGCCCTCGCAGTCTGGCTCCAGGTTCCTCCCCACCCCATTCACCCCCATCCCCACTGGCCCTCTC